TATATATATATATATACATCAATTTCACTTTTTTGGATACAATTGTATTTCTAAATGTTTTAAATATAATACAGCTGAGACATTTTTATTAATTAATTGGGCAATTTCTTTCCAAATTTAATTTTGTAAATATTCCGCTAAAAGATGATTTGCCATATCGCTATTATTTTGCCGAAATATTTACAAATTAACTGCGCAAACAGTTATCGATATTTTATAAAAGATCAAAGTTACTACATCTATTTTTTTTAATATACCCATATAATTGCAGCATCACAAATTTCATGCAAGATTTCGTCATGTAATTTTATAAATGTTGTGCTATCGGGGTAGGAGTAGAGATTAAATGCAGGTGAAATATATTGAAATAATCGAATATTGAATAATTCTAATATTGAATAAGCCTTCCCTTAAGATTCAATATGAAGAAAACAACAATAAATAATAATTTATATCAAGGTAGGACGTAGTTTGTATCAAACTAGGAATAGCATATATAATGATATATGCCGAGATTCTTCATTGGCTCTTCAAGTTCGACAGAATTAATGCAGAGTCGAAATTTCGATTCGGGATGTCCTTTGAGATGTTGAAGATGCTTCACACAAGAGTTGAGATACTTGATCATATATTAGGCCACAGTTCTTTTTCATTTATATCATCGAGTACCATATCGAACTATGAACTTTCGAGTGACTGCAAATCAAGCGTTCTTCGTACGAACACCATTCCACTCGTGAATCTGCCTTTTAACGCGGAGATAAATATGAAGCGGCGTTTTCCGGGGTAGCGAATCGCGAGATGTAAGTTACACAAGGAGTTCCGGGCATGTAAATGTACCGTCAGGCACTTGCGACGACGGTTGCCGCGAGTTTGTGCTTGCAAACTTAAACGGACGCGGCCAAACGTGAAATCATAAAAGTTTCAGTTCGCGGAAGATGTGAGGACCGGGGATCCGCGGCGCCAACCGCGCGGCCGGATATATAAGCGGGCTGTCGCGGTATATTTTAGTAGCCGTAATCACTCGCCTTCGACGGAGGATCAAACTCACCCGCGAGCTTTCCGCGAACTCGTTGTTTGAGTTGTTCAGCCGCCCGCGATTTATTCGCTCGACTCCCGATACAAGAAAAAATGTCGTCCCCCTAATGCCTTTATTTTATTTCCTTTTTTTCTACGGGATGGATGAATATTGCCGCATTCAGCGTTAAACGCGCGACTGGGAGTACAGTATCTATATTCGCAGCCAGCAGGTTATTCGGAACTATCGCGCTTTTATGTACCGTGCACTTTTATCCGCCGTCGTTTGGACGCAGGGAAGGGCACATAAGCGCGGATCGACACCGCGAGATGCAACCGAGGGTGGAAAGGGCACGCGAATGGTAGACGGAGCGCACTTTGCATCTCGAACGACCAATTACGTGCTCAGCCTGAAATACGCCACATTAAAGCGCTATATTCCAACGAGCGGGACAAACTGCCGTATCGTGACCCACTGTCCTCCTGCTGTCGGGCTTCCTAGTCCGAAGAGTGCGAATTTTCCTTTCGATAACGGAGCCTTATTAATTGCAACTACACAACACGCGACACACATTTCTCCAATATGAAAATCTAATTAAACAATTTTGTCTCTCTTGTCTAACACTTTGACGATCGTACGCACGATTTCATTCTGCCAGCAAGTCGTGAACAAATTTATTTTGTTCATGATTACAATATTGTAGAAACTTTATATTATCAACGCGTAGATTTATGCGTTATGTATGAATAGTTTTTTCTTTAAATCCAAACGAGTTATCGAAATCTGTCGACGGCAGAGGACAATACTTCCGCGATAAATTAATATGACAGACAATTTCTTCAAGATCACTTAATACACTGAGACCACGATCTGATATAATCTAATATAACGGTATGGCGTTTCCATGCCACATTATATCGCGTATAAGTCAACCGCAGCTTTACGATTCCGCGCATTTAACCCATCGAGCGATGAACCATCGGATAGACAACCCTAACTGGAAATGAAGGGACCGAAGGAGAGCCCTCGTGAAGCTCTCGACGATGAGATCCTTGCTTCCTGTCTCTCTCTCTCTCTCTCTCTCTCTCTCCTTTACTCTCTATCTCCTCTCTAAGGAGAAGATTGACACAGAAGGAGGCTGAGAAGAAGCTACTAGCTCCTCGCTACACCGCCGCGATGCTGTTATGCTTTATGCGATTTATCTAGCCGTGATGCCGTTCTCTCGCACATTGCGCTTTTCTTCGCAGGGTAATGCGTAGCACCGCGAGAAGAAAACGTGGATTGCTCCATAAAAGTGGCAGAAGGAGGACTTTTTGAATAAGCAGATAAGCTCGCATTCGTGCGAAATAAACGACAGATTGTTCGCGCGATCCAGTTTCCAATTTACGATGCTAATATCGTTAGAAAGAAAAAAGAGAAAAAAAATGTTCGGCGCCGAGTTTAATCTAAAGTCCGTTCTAAAGTTTCGAAAAATACGACGCAATATGGCCGGGAGATCCTCAAAGCTTGCTCGCGATAGGAGAAGGTAGGCAAAGTAAAAAAAAAGAAGTGGCTACATGCATGTGTTCTTCTGAGAAACATATAAACGTGAGGTGCGCGTTGTCGCGAGACGGCAAGAGAGAAAGAGAGACGGTCAATAGAAGGACGCGAGACACGAGACGAAAGTGTAACACGAAAAAAATTGATGTGTTTTATTTATATACAATATTTACAAAGGCGTAGTGTGAATCAAGTGGCTATAAATGTATTCCTCCGTACGCTTGAGCCTGTGAGAAAGCGGCGCGAGCGTGTATGTGTGTATGTTCTCGTTTCCCCGCGAATCACCATCAGCCATGGTCCAGGGGCCTCGTATACCCTGTTGAACGATGGTCGACGACCCAGAAGTAGGCGATGCAGACCGTCTGGATCCTCTCGTTCGTCCGTCTAGACCGCCGCCTACTTCTCTCCTCGATGTCCCAGCCGCTGTTTGACCCTTAAATGCAGCTCTCTTGGATGCTCCTGCTGATCGATTCCGAGTGCGGCCTCTGAAGGCTGTAGAACGTCTGAAAACCGACCGAAGAGGTAGAGCGAGGAATTTGAGACAGTGAAACGAATATCGATTATTACAGACAATAGCCGGTGAACACTTCTCACGTTCTCGCTGATCGAGAGCGGCAGATATCGCGCCGGGCGATTAAAATTTATATTCGATTATTTCGCGTCCGCGCCGCCGCCGTGGAAATTTTTATTTAAGCGAGACAGTAAAACAAGACGACAGAGCTTACGTGACATCATTGCCATTCGATACGATACCACACCGCCACCGGGTTAAATCGAGTTCGGAAGATATTTGTCTAAGGCTTAAGGTTAAAAGATTCTATTTCGACGGAAATATATGATACCACTTAGAAAAATGTAGAAGCGACGACTGGGAATTGAATTCGATTTATCCGCGCGCGGAGAACTCCTTACTCGCTGTATCGATATAGAATTTTTATAGCGCCACTTTTATGGTATTTTTATAATATGAAATATACACTATATAACGCACACACCATCCTTTGCCGGTGATGCAGCAGATGAATTTTCTCAATACTATGTGCATCGAGACGAAAAAGCAGGCTTCCCTGAACGAAATGATTTGTCATAATTATTTAATTAATCTTAGGTGCAGTCGGCATATTAAAAGTTTCAATGCTTTTTTTTCGATAAGTTTTGCAATATACCTCGTACCCAATAGGAAAATTTCTTGAGAATTACCAAAGAGAAGATTCTCCTATTGAACACCGAGAGTGTTGCGAAAGTCATCGGAAAAAGAAGTGTTGGAACTTTTATTATACTGATTGCACGAAGGGGTATTCGCAAACCGACGCTTTCGCAATAATATTGATCCGAGGGTCAAGGTTTCCCAGTTTAAATCGTTCATCAAATAGATAGGCTAAATATATCATGGAGCAAAGAAAGGCCGAGTATCTCAAAAACTATTAGGCGCGAATGGAAACGCTCTCGTTCTCCGGAACTGGCTCGCCGGTAGACGACGATAAGCGGGATCGTAAAGCAGACCGGATCGAATTCGAAAGTGGTTTTCTGTGTTCGGGGAGCTATCGGCGAACGTGCAAGTGTACGCGGTTGCTGTAGATCGCCTTACATCAGAGAGTTCCTCTTCGATTCTGTCGCCTTATATCTCGTTTTAATATCTCGAAGCGACTAACAGACTTTTCAATTACGCAACATCTCCGCGATGTTGACTGAAATTATTGCAAAGAGACGGTAGGAAAGCTCAATGACATGGAATAATCGATTCGTTCCGCGTTAATGTATCGCCTCGTGATATCCTTTCCTCGAATAGCGAGAGGTCGCATCGTTCCTCCTCCCTTGAGGTATACCCTCTCAAGGGCACGGTCTCCGTTACGAGAATCAATATTGCGGATAAAAGTCGGATTACTCACGTTTGGCGATGCTCTTGGATAATCTGAATCTTCTAGGACGTCGTGAGACATCTCGCGTCCTTCCAGCTGACGTGGTCTTCGCGGCAGGGACCCGTAACGAGGAAGCTTTCTGTCTGGAAGAAGTCCCAGGGTGGACTTAGCGTCAATCGCATAATCGGTTTGAAGTAAGCTCGCGGATTTCGCAAAGTATTTTGAACTTCTCGGGCAACTTTCGCGGCGTTTCCCACTCGCGGGCGGCACTTTCTGTTACTCCTACTGTTTTGTTTGCGCCGAAAGTTTCCGGCTTGAAGGGGGGAATCGAAGCTGGGGGAGCGAGAGAGCTGGGAAAGAGTGCCAGGTGAAGGCGTTACCTCCGCGATGTCGCGAGAAACTGTCCGGGGATTTATCGACAATAACCCCGAATGTCCGGCTGAATCGAATTGATTTGGAATTTTGATTCGGAATCGCAATCGGAAATAAACTATCGTCTGTTCCTCCTCTCTTGCAACTCGCCGCGGATACGATCCATGTTTTCTCTCGTGCGTCGGAATTGCGGAAAGAGCATGTGTATCTTTATACGTACACACGCATCTACGTCTCGTACATGTTCTGGCGCGAGTATGCATATGTCGATATATACTGGAACCGCCCACATACCGTATGTGCAATTTTCTTAAAAGTACCGTTAACGCGCGCCGCCGGTTTAAGGTGAAACCCGATATTCTGGAGATCCTCGTACAAATGCGGCAGTTCCATCAGTCTAAGTAGAAATTCACAGAATGGGATGGCCGGTTATGCGCGGACGATATGCCTCCAGTCCTTTCTTAAAGAAGCGCTTGTAAGATTTAAATGGTAAATCCTTGTCCTTCTCTCTTTCACTTCCCCTCAGTCCCTTCCCGACCGGGAGCTTCAATGTTTTATAACTTGATACAGCGAATTTCCTCAGCAATGTTTTAAGAACATCCTGTTAACTGTAAAAAAAGTAGGCCAGGGCATCGGACGAGCTGTAGGATCGATCCCACAGAGTGTTAAAAATTCCGAAACCTCGCGGTCGGGCGGTAAAGAGTATTTGGCATTCTCTTCCTATTCCTCTCGTTTTATCCTTTGAATGTTTCATCATCGACAGGAGTGCGGAAATCATGCGAGAATTGTTCAACGAATATTCGCGTTATCAGGCAAATTTACCAGTGAGATGATTAGTCAAGACCGTCGTGGGGATGAGATCCGGATTGCCGTCTTCTTCTTCACCTTTGCCGGCGAAAGTCGCGATGCTCGGTTGCTGGGGTGGCTTTGGCTTCGTGGGAGTGGCCGCGTGCCTCCTCCAGAGTGCCATTAGCACACCGGTCACGATTAACCCCAGGCCGGTCGCTGTGCCCCCCAGCCCGATTAGAATCGGTGACATGTCGACCGAGGACGTCGATTCGCCTGCGAACGAAATTTCCGCTATAACTCTGTCCGTAAAATGATATTCCGCGATATAACCGATCCTTCCCAGCCGAAATCGCGTTGCGAGTAATGCCGTCGGTGTAAACCGAATATTTCTATACTCGGGTACTGAAATTCGAAGATATTACTCGGGTACTCGAACTAAAAAAAATGTTGGAAACGAAAGAAAATATTGGATACTTCAAATACTAATTTGAAAAATTTACGTGTCAAGAATTGATAGCACCCTGAGTCAAAATTTTAGCTCTGTATTAAACTTCTAATTCTATAACACAGTGGGAGGTAAAATAACAAAATAAATTTAATTTTCAATTTCAATTCTAATAATATAATTTAATCCTATTTTGACCTTAGCAATATTTTAGATTTCTGTTTTCACTGTTTTTACATCAAAATAGGTTGTTTAAAGTAGCATTAAAATTAAATCTATAGAATCATGAGAGAGGAGTTAATAAGTGTCAGTAGGTTCTTATTAATTTATAGGCCACCTAAGTAGGCGACTACCTTTAAATACGTCAAAGTAACATCAAGATTTCGAGGTAACTCGGGGTAACTCCCGACAATAGATAGATTCGGTCTTCTTTTCTTCCGCATCTACGTGCATCTATCCATATCGATCTAGCTATTCATTTTAACGACGACGTTACTTCCCACGACACTTCTCTCCCTTTTTTCCTTCAGTTCATCTCAATAAGTTGCTGGTTGATTCGGCGCATAGCGTACGCCCGCTTAAGATTTCGCGGCAGTAACTGCGGTCAGCCACGGATCAGACGCGGCCCGATTCCAATTTACCTGTCCGATTTACAGTCGCGTCGCGACGAGAGAGAGGGCGTTTTCCCCGGTGAGCGTAATCTGTTTCCAATTAAGGCGCGGCGTCGAGTCGATCGTTCCGAACTTCGTGGCAGGTTGCATTACGGTGGCCTAACGCTGCGGCTGATTTGTGAGTCGCTCCACGAGAGAGGCGAGAGAACTGCAGCGGATTAGGAATAGCTCCGGCTCTGCGGGAACGACGGGTCGTCCGCGTCGTTTCCGCGCCGTCGTTAATCATTCGGCTTAAACCGCGGCACGAGTGTATGCGCGCGCGCGCGTATGTGCGTTAACATGCGGGTGTTAGTGTATATACACTCGCCGTGCCGGAATTACTGCGCTCTTCTTCCGCTAAGGCTGCTCGACGAAGAGTTGACTTTCTCGATGGTCTAATAGGTAACGGTTATTTCTATGGGCCGTTTCGAAGAAACGTAAGGTACCGCGGCGTAATCGTAGCACACATGTCGGATATGCTTTCAGCAATTATACGGGTATTACACTTCCCGTTGGCTCATATCGATCTCCCTTATCTAATGGAAACGCGAAAAGGAATTTAGGAATTCTGACCGCGACGTTGTCCGAAAGCTTACGAGTGTCCCGGTTTAGCGTGCTTCGCGCTAACTAAAACCTTATATTAAGATCCTGTTAAAGTAAAGCCCGCCAAATTCAAATTAGCCAAAGATCGTAGATATTGCACGATCGCAGATGTAGGATTATACAGAGTATGTTGGTGCTCCACTAGCGCTCCATTTAAATTGTATATTTTTTTAAATCGATACTACGCTTCGCGTGCAACCCTCGGAATCTTCGTTCTGTTAAACGACTCGACAATTAAATCTCAGGTTAAGATTATCCCAAAAAGAGTCTAACAATTCGATCGATATGATATCATAATTGGTAACTTTAATGCTCTTAGATTTTTTAATCACGTGAAACATTAATAGATTTATGAGAGTCGACGCAGATTGAACACTTTCACGTAACATGCTTATTAACAGTTTAAAAGGTTCAAAATTGAAGAGGGTTAAAACATTGTGTTTAATATTTAGTATATTAGCAAATAATAATAAGATCCCTTGATAAGGCAGTAAAATAATTATGCTCACAAGAATTAAATTGCATCAACTTTTACAGTCCTTTTAACACGTTGAGAATGCTGGTCATCGGTGACCGGCACTGCGACATACCGCATTTTGTTACATATAACATATAATTGCATGAAAAAAAATGGCTATACGGTTAATAAAAAGCTAATGAAACAAGGTAAGAGATATATGTAACCTGAATTATATTTATTTACTGCAGTTTTAGTGGTTTAATTATTAATTAGACGTTTGTACGATCAATGAAAATCAGTACGATATTCAACGTGTTAATATGTTTTATATGATTAAATAATATTATGTTGGCGGATTCCAGACTGAATCAGTTGAAGCCCTCCCTCTCTCTCTCTCTCTCTCTCTCTCTCCGAATCGCCCTTCAAAAGTTCTTCGTATCGCGACGTTTCGTTAACGCGAAACTGAAGAATCCGTGGACGGAAGGAATGTACCGGCATGTTCGGCACAAACGTGAGCGTGTAGCGAGGATCGTAATTCGATCGCCCTGTGTTAAACAGGTATCCATGGAAGTTGCGCGTCGCATCGGGCAAACAACCGGTCGACTAATTTGTTTCCAATTAACAATCAAGTTTCAGTTAAATACTAATTAACAAGGCACAAAGCGCGCCAATTCTGCCATTGACTGCGGGGACGTAATTGAATACGAACGAGGCATCGGGTATACGAGTTTGCTATGATGGACTCCAGGGAGAAAGCGCCGCTTCTCTCCCTTGAAGGTCTTCCTCCTCCCTAAACGAAAGGTCGCGTTCGCTCGGTCGCTCCGCGTTAAAACAAAGCACGCTAAGCGGTATCTGATTCTGATTTCGCATTCTGATTTCGCGAAATTCGCCATCGATAGCAGCAATATCCCTCTCTCTCTCTCCCCCCCGCCTGCAATAAGTCACAAAATTACGAGGCGAAGTTCTCGTATACAGCGCCTCTTCTATCTGATAATTCGTACAATTAACGCACGATCGACGATTGAATTTTTGCCTGAACGTTTCGCCCCTTTCGCGCATTTCGACTCACGTACGTAAGAGTGGTTGACTCACCAACGTCCTTCGCCTTTTCGAAACTTATCGTTTTCACCGGTGTCTCAACACGCGGGGTACGTAAAATTTTAATAGCCCGGATTTGATAACGCAACCGAGTGACGCGAGCAAGTTGAAAATTTTACGTTGAAAATTAACCAAGTTGTAGTCACGGTCCTCGTTTGGGTATTCAAGGGGAGCGAAACGCATCGCTCTTGATTTGTATATCAAAAGGGGTCACACGCATAATTCAGAGATTATATCTTTGGGCGCATATATCTTCGTTACATCTCCGCCGTCTCGTCGAGCGTTTTGTCGGGGATCAGCGCGAAACGACGACGATCGCTCGCACGATTGGCGCGAGAATCGCGCTTCGATCGGGTGTCGAGGAAAACGCGGAGGGGTAAGCGGGCGGCCGGCAGCGGAATGCGGCGGAAAGCAGAATGCATAATAATGGCTCATAAATTTTGACGCTCATAAATTTTCCGCGAGGCTCGACCGCGCATGTTTCAGCGAAACCGGCAACGGCCAGGGTTGACCTCTCCGCGCGGCGAACTGTTCAACAGGGATCATTTGCATGTCGCCGCTAGCATTTCCGGTTGGCGTGACGCTACGACCGTTCAAATTGAAGTGTGAAACTTAACACGTCCGTTCTTCGAGCGCGCGCGAGCTAAAGTGTAAGGGGAGAAATACACGAGAATCCGTCAATTAATACCCGCCGATCGTTGGTTTCCATCGATTGCGCGGGAGCTTCAGGATTAATTGCCCGCAAGTCAAAATAATGAAAAAAAAAACGAACAAATTGCGAATTGATCTATATTGTATTTAAAAGCGACATCAAAAGTTTGACAGTAATTCAGAGCTTGGAAATTATTCCATTTCGAAGGACGTTGTATATTTTTATCATCTTTATTAAATCAACTGAAATAAAAATATAGCACATTGATGAGAAAAATAAAAAAAAAATATTTTCGTATTTATAATATTGTGTATATATGACTACCTCAATTTTTCGTTTTAATATTAATATTTACTAGATAATTAGATCAACGAAGATACGATAAATCAATATAACTCGAGATTCGCGGGTATCTTTTGCCTCGTTCCATTCGCTTTCTCCTCTTTGTGGACAATTAGTTGAATCTTTATAAAACGACGGCAAAATGATCGCGTTCTTTGTGGTCTGTTTACTCGTCGCCTCGATCGGAAAGGATGCCGCAGGTATCCGCTATTTGAAAGCACCGCTTTTCATCAAACCTCGTTCGTTTGCGGTCTTTTGCGGTTAAACAAAGCAGAACTCTTTCATCACCGTAATTTTTACAGTTTGCACGTTTTATCGGATGTTCTCTTTTTTATCTGTTTCTTCCTCTTTCTTTCTTTCTCCCTTTTTGCAATACGGAAGTTTATACACAGAAGTTGGTAGGGGATCGCGGATTTTCCGCGATATACGATTTTTACCACACCATATTTTTGCCGAAGTCCGAATAACGAGCGAAGGGCCAGCTGGCCGATCGATAAGCTGCGATTTGATGCGAACGTCAGCTCGCCGGGGGTTGAAAACGGAATAAAGGGCGCTCGACGGAACGAAGAAAAAAGCATTGGCAAGGCTCCCGCGGGGGTACGAGATATCGATTCCGCCCTGGGCTTTATTTGCATCGTGATTGAAAGGATTAAGGAGACTGGCTTCTTGGAATTTCCTCCAGGCGTCGTGCCATAGACTCTCAATATTTTTGGCAGTATAAATTACGAGCTGTGCGAAGCGTGTCGGAGATATAAATGGAACAGCGCTATAGGAAGCAGGCGAATATTAAAATTGAAAAAAAAAAAGAAGTACTACTCTCCGGACTGATGCAGAGTATACGTTAGCCGATTTAGGCGACGTCGAAGTTCAACTTGCGTGCTTTAATCTCCTCGCCTTTGCGCCTTCGTCATCTCACTCGCGGAAAGAGATGAACGATGCCAGTTAAGTGAGGTGAAACTTGGCCGACATCAAAGCAAAGGCAGACCGCACTTTGTAACGAGCGAGATTGCATCACCAATTATCAAACAATCTGCGTAGAATGATCGGGCCGGGCTTTTGGAGGAGGTGGAAGAGAGGCGATGCACTCAGAGCGAGTTATCTCCTCGCTCATCGCCCGACGATGGGGCCGCTTGGACTTTACGGAAACTCACCGGTGAACTTGGCTACCCCTTTCAAGGGGACTGCTATGGTGAACGGCTCACTGGAGCCCTTCGCGTTTACCGCGTAAAGAGTGATCTTCGTCGGCTTGGACAGCTCGAACTCCCAGTAAGGGCTCGGGGACTCCAGACGCCGTTTATCCACGAAGGCGACGAATTTCTGCGGCAGACCGCCATCGTATCCCTCGACGCAGGATATCCTCACCCAGGAGCCGTTCTGATTGTAGGTGGTGCAGTTCTGCAACGGGTAAGGTCTGCCTGCGAAGAAGATGCGGCTTTGAAGATCGCGAGAGCGAAAGAACGACGGAGAGAATGCAGTCACCGATTAAAGTCGCAGAGTCGCTTCTTCAAAGGAGACATTTTCATTTTTCAGATAGAGTCGCACATAAACACGCGCGCGCGCGCGCGTATATCTCGAGCTTCATCCTTTTATTCTACCTCAGTATGTAACTCAGTTCGTATTTCTTAGCAGTATTTTAAATAAATACAGATGAAAGGAATGCAGGAGAGGATAAAAGTATAGGGATGCTTTCGTCGGTAAAGCGATTCGCGAATCAATAGCGAATTAATAGGATAAAAGTGATTTGATGAGTTAATTGGTATACTCTCTTGTGATCTATTTTTTCAGAATTAATTTTTAATATAACGACTATAAAAATATTAATAGGAATTAATTTGTTGCGACAACATGCGATGATTTATATGTGGCGGATAAAAACAAAAATATTCAATTTCCGATCTTTTTGCATATAACTTCCAAACACGTGTCGTGTTTTTAAATAAATCAAAGCGAGACCAATTAAATCCGCGGAAAAACGCAGCAAGCGCTATTTTTCAAGCTTCACAGGAAGATCGATAAAAATATTTATTTGACGAAATATTTAATGAAATGAGACTAACGAACTAACAATTTAGTATAAATCAATTTCTCGTTATTCAGAAATTTTACATAGTTAACGTTTGATATTCTAGTTGTCGAATGCGATTCCGCAATATTTAACATTAATTTTCTTTTGATAATATAATTGTTAGTAGCTCCTAAATTTTCTTGACATTTTTCTCATGAACGTGTGCATAAGTGCGTATTTTTATTTATTCCAGGAAAGTTTTCCTAACATATATCACATACCTTTTTCTCCTTTTATTTGTTTCTTTTTACGACAAATTCGCGCGAATGTTACGAGATTTTTCCCGAAGATCGAGCTCCGAAGTTCCGTCGATATGAAAAAAAAAGTGAGAAATTGCTGCGGCACGGACGAGCCATTTCGCGAATTTCGCTTTATTGCCCGGCGAAAATTGCGTCGCGATGCCAGTCCGTTTTTGGGGCAATGAAATTATGTTCCGGGAGCGTCATTATCGACCACGCCACGGTGGTGCATTAACCGAATCGTGTTGTACACAAACGAGACCGAAAAATCCCGCAGCGCTGCCAGTGTCCATCCCCCGAGGATACCGCCGATATCTTGTCCGTTAACAATCGAATTAACTCACCAAAAGTACTAACCTTTTCTCTTCTACTCCCGTCCTTTTCATTCTTTATTCAGCTCACAATTCTCGATGCGCGATCGTTATCGGAGACAAAGCGTTAGCGTTCTGTCACACTGTTGTTCCGACTCATACAATAAATTTCTTTTAAGACGAGTTTTATGTCGAATCGTCATCTCGAAATAATATTAATTCGGTTTTCTTTTGTATCATCGACTTTAGTGGCGAGTTTCCAAATTTATAGAATTTATAGGGATTGACGTAAAAGGCAGAAGTAAAATTGTCTCTCTCTCTCTCTCTCTCTCTCTTTCGTGAATTTTCCAAAATTTCCGGCCCGAGTGCGGCGAGAGGCACGACGTCGTTGTTACGATGCGAGTACAATAAGTGGAACAAGACGGAGGTGGGTTCGAAGAGTCGCAGCGCGTCCTGCCGGCGCGCATCCTGCCATTATTGCAGGTTCCACTGCATTTATTTTCGCGGCGCATCGCGCGCAATTGCTTTTGCCATCGCTAATCTCCCGGAAAGTGTAAAACGGAAGAAAATAGTCGGGGCTAATAGCACCATCGTTGGTTACAGACGGCGCGGCTGCGGATTAAAGCGTGGGTTAAAGCGGTTGTTTTTCGTCATCTGTTTTATTATCCGCGCTTATATCGCGCGTGTTACTCGAGGCCGTATACCGGTTCTCGAGGGGATACGACGGAAATTTATAACTATCTCGCGTTCGCCTTGAATTCGAAATTACGTCGAATTTGGGGAAAATTTATACCGGTGTCTCGTTGTTTTGCTTTCAGCCACGTATCCTCGCCGACGAATTTATAGCCAATTTCTTTTTAGAGAAGATCCCATCGATATGTACTTTCGATCGTCTAATTTGCAACGTTACGTTTCTCTAAAATTGTTCATATGTCCTAAATTAAATTTCTGTTAAAGCGATGTTTTTCTCTTCCGTCTCTTCTCTCTCTCTCTCTCTCTTTTCCTCTCTCTGAAATTATCAGGGAACAAGCTTTTGTTGCGCTCTCTAACTTGAATGCTTATAAACTTTCCATTATTATTCATAAATCCATACTACGTCTGACTTAATCGAGCCACTAACGTTTCCGGTTGAAAAAAAAAATATAGCGAGAAAACTACCACAACCCCGTGCACTAGCTCAATTAGGAGCAGTCGCGACTCGCGCGCGACTTTATTAAAAGACGTTACGTGCAGAAAAATGTGAAAGCTTCGTTTTTTCGGCAGGGAGCAGTCTAACGCGATATTACACAAGCGCATGGTTACAGCCGCTCGCTCGTTTAATTGAAAATTATGTCCGATCCTCGTAAAGTTCCCCCAGAGATATCGCTGTTGTTTTTCGCTCGGCGGATTTTTCGGAAAATCCTTGAGTCATCCTCTCGGAATAAAAGAGAAGAGAGTCGACGGCAGTTCCAAGACATCGGTGAATTTACAATAGATTTATAACCGATGCGCTCTTACGAGCGCATTCGACGAATCGAGGTCGGACTTTATCGCTCTGCACCCCCTCCCCATCGTTCGTAGCAGCCTAACGTGAGATTACACGTTACATCGCGGAGTTGCTATTGCGCCCCTTGTTTACAGCCTCTTCAGGGCTAGCTTACGAGGGCAACGTGCGTTGAGAATAACGGCACTCGCGTTTACCGCCCTCGCGTTGTTCCAATTAAACGTAATTGAACACTCGCGTCGCGAAAAATCATGTCGTTCGACAAGAAATGAAGCTGCGTGAACTACGCCACTCCGACGTTGACGAAACTCGATAGGTTTGTTAAGGAGCAAATCAAAGGACTTCGACGCGTCTTCTTTTTCTTTTCTTTTCTCGCATCCGCTATGTGTCTCCGTTCAACGGACGCTGTCGTCATTCGAAATTAAGTCGGTTTAGTGCCGTGTTACGACGTAAAACGGGAACAGAGAGAGAGGGAGAGAGAGAGAGAGAGAGAGAGAGAAAGAGAGATTACCGAAATCGTGCGTCTCTGGACCGAGACCATCGCAACTATCGAGGAATAGTCTCGATCGTCGTGGCGCCTCGAATGCGTTTTCTGGAATGTGTGAGAAAAAATTAACAGAAAAAAGAGCAAGAAAACCAGTGTCTGGTAATTACATAAGAAATACATCCGGCTGGCGCGCGAAATAAATTATGTGTCCAATTACCGCGGGGGAGAGACACAGAAAGCGCGGACGGATCGTGCTGGAGCCCCAGAGAAAGTATAGTCCACGATTGTCCGATCAGTGTTGCTACATTCGGTGGACTAAATCGATCCGGTTGTCCGTTCATTCGCGCGGCGATGTTTCTGTCCATCGGAAACGCGGCTGGCCGCGTAGCACGAAACGGACACGACTTTTCCGGTCCATCGTCGGGTCCAGGAACTGCCGGCACGACGGCGGCGGCGACGACGACGGCGTCGGTGGCGGTGCGACAGGCGTTATACCTCGTAATGAACATATTCAATTACGGTTTTCATTAAACTTTCGCAAAAAAACGTGCAACCGACGCAAATGAATTTCGACGTGGCGCCTTTCGTGCAACGTCGCGTCCTTCTCTCTCTTTCTCTTCCATTCCCTCTCTCTCTCTCTCTACTTCTTTTTTTACTCTTCTATTCTTATTTCATTCGTCTTCTTAATTCTCACCATCACGCCCACCAGATTTCCGCGCAGTTTCCGCGCGAGACGTGACGTTTTGCGCGAGCGGCGGAGCGCAAAATGTTTGCACCGTTCCGCGCTTCATCCGTTGAAATCGCGTATTAATCTACTTTAGATTTAACAGCGAACTTCGAAAGATACGGCGCGAGGCGAAAGTATTTTCTCTCCAAGAGACGGTCGATTTCGAGCTGGCCAGAGGAGGATTCGCGTTTCAGAGCTTCGATGCGATAAATTTCCTGCGAGCGCGGAACGGCTCGTGTATTTGCAAATGTGCAGTCGACAATATTGAATTTTGGAAAGCTGAGAGGATTAGTTCACCTAAATATTATCTCTTTGCAATGCGTAGATAGCGGCGGTAAGCTTTATAACGGTCCTGTGGATATTATATTACTTAATTATGAAATTAATTAAAAGATGCCATTAATTACGGCGCTATAAACTACTAAATTATCTGGATGCAATAATCGTTACGTCGCCACTAATTATGGATTAACATTTGTGCACAATAATAATATATACGACGAATATAGAACAGGAATAACAATTGATAATGAATAGCAATCAGGCGCGATACGTACCCCGAATAGATAATATTGCTGCGCTCGGGTTTGCGTTTTGTAACCAGTTGAATTCATTAAAAATGCATCCTATATCCTTTTAGCCTTGAGTAGTCCTTTTGTGACAGACGCGCGTATAGAAGTGTGAAAAAAAAATGCAGACGAGCCGCATTGCGCAACTTTTGCGCTCGTGGACAGTAATTAAACGTTATTCTTTAGCGCGGGCAGCATTTTTTCATGTAAACGCACGGACGAGCAAGGGACCCACGCAAACGATCCTCTTCTGTGTCTATTATTCAAATTTATTTTACAAAAAGAAGGAAAAAACTCGACGGAAATAGTTCCGTACTTCAACGCCCCGGAAAGAATTCTTTGATCATGCGAATGCAAATTTTACGCATTTTTACATTGGGTAGAATTCAGATATTACGGATATATACACGCCCACGATAAATCAACGGACAAGATCGGTGCGCTGCAAAACACACGTGCAATTATTTCCAGAGGGTATTCAGTGCAACAAACAATTTTTGTTTCTCTTTCGCACAGAGAAACTAAAACCGTACTGCAAGTTTAATATTTGTTGTACACTGGCAACCGATAGTTTACGGACTCTGCAAATCTGTTTTGCTTCGCTTCTTTTTTTACATGTGTCGTCAGTTTAATAGTGTTTCGCGTTATACGCAAACGAACCCCGGGACTGGCTTGAATACGCTTCGACATAGAAAATAGAGCTCGAGGTGTGTAAAAACACAGACGATTTTTCGATTGAATTGCGATAAGTAACCGGTCCTCGTCGCCGTGATTAACCCGAGGTTTCGCCATGCCATTAACCTGAGGTCGAGTGTGCAATTGGGGGCCATAAAGGTTGACGCATTTATTTTTCAATGCTGCGATCGGTAAGGGAAACCGGGCTTATTGTCATATTATGATGTATTATCACACCTTTTATATATTATCGGATTAATCGCGTTAATCAATTGGAGAATATTACACAAAATATTTCACTACATCTTTAACATTAATGGATAAACGAAAGATCTTTGTAAATTGTTCTGTAAATCTGTCATATTGAAAGGATTAATATTCTCCCGTGATGTCCCCGTTACAATTGACACTTGTTTTTCGAAACAAAAGTTTCCAAAAGAATATGCGTGGAGAATTATGGTTCCTCTTGTGCATCTCGCTAAGGATTCAAGAAGCCAGGTTAAGGGTTAAGTCTGGTGTCGCGAGAAGGAAGTACGGGCTAAACAAACCTGCGGCGATGACCTGGTACAGGCAGGGTTGTTTAGAATGGCCGGCCGCGTTACTGGCCCAGCAGCCCAGGACCCCGTAATCCATATCAGTGGACGGGGTGTAGTTGAGCCTGCTGATGGTGCCATGGCTGGTGTACTTGGTGGACGGAACGTCGTTGAGGTCGCCGCTGCTATTGAAGGTCCAATGGAAGGTCACCGTGGTAGGGCTGGCCTCGACTTCGCAGATCAGACTTATGGTCTCGTGCTTCAGGGCGCCGTGCACCTCCTCGGGCACGTTAAACGGCGGTGGAGTGGCGTTCTGGTGCCGCCAGCCGCCTGAGTTGAGCACGTGCTTGCAAACGGGCGCGACTGAGGCATAACGATCTAGATTGGCGTGGTTTCGTTGCGTTACGCGCACGAGATATTCGCACGAGAGCGATGCACCATCGGAGATACACTACATTGATTGTTCAGGAAGGGACGAATTCGCGAAAATGGAATCTGTGTAAAGGGTTGCGTAGCAAACAGATGTAATTGCCTTGCGGACTTTTACGCGTCACAACTTTTTAACGTTGCTCGCTTCGAGCTTCGTATGAAGAGATTCTTGACGCTTGAAAGATCGACTGGTCGGATCTTGAAACTACCTTCGAGGTATCGAATTACAAGTGTATTATTTCGCGGGAGAATATCTTTTATCCGCTTTTGGGCTGGATGTTATATCAGCAACCGAACGTGGGACGTTATATCAGCAACCTGAACGCTCACTATTAATTAGAGGATAGTGTTTGTACTCGGCGTATTGAATTTGGCATAATATAGCGAACAATGTGAACCGTGCATGTTTTGTTGACCAAAATACGTGCAAAGTAAGTTACCGTACCTACATACCGTACATACATATATACACACGCATACTCACGCGCACCCACCGCGTACGGGGCTGGACTCGCGATTTAATAGATGATTTAATTAATAATTACATCGCGTGCGCGAAATATGCGGCCGTATGTGAAACGCAGCGGTTTACGCGCGGTTCATTAAACCAACGTATCTCTATTACTGTTCTTCGAACGGGAACGTGCATAACTGCAGCTTTTCGCGAATCAGCAAGATGAAAGCGCGCGAGCGCATATATTTGACATTTTTGTGCTTTCTCGCTGCTCCCCCTCCCCCCCTCTCTCTCTTTGGAGCGAGCGCTGAACCGGTAAGAAGTTACCGTTTTGCACACACGTGCACGCAATAACATTCCGCCGATGTGAAGCTGCATCGTCGTCTCTTATTTCCAACGCGGCGCCGCTAAATTTTTCGAGAAATATCCCGACGCTCGCGCTACCGTTGTAAAACACGGCTGGACACGGCGTCGGACAAAAGATCCGGATTTGCCTCGATTCTTTTGCATAAGTGTTATATATGTGCGTACATGTGTGAACGGTGAACGGGATGCGGATAAAGGATCGATAACTGTCCGCGGGCCTCTACCGATGTAACCGGCCGTTTTATTTATACTTTCCGATATTGCAAAACCGAGCGCGAGGATTTACGCGACGCGGGTACGCCGTAAAATATCGGTGATGTCGCCCAAGTAGTAACGCTCGCGCCATGGTCGGCCGCGAGATGGGAATGAAGAAAGAAGCCGGAGATTCGCTAAATTGCAATCGTCGATCGCGTCTTACCGCAATTGAAATTTTTCATCTAGCCTTCCGATTTCTCGATTAATGTGCGCTCGTGTTAAGCATAGTTTTTAAATGTGAACTCGAGACCTCTCGCTGTTTTCTTCGGGTTTCGACTTCGCAGGGTTTCGGCGAGTCCGAAACGACAGCTTGACATTGGGACAACGAATGAGTAAAACCGTCGATCGCGTATTTTGCCGTAGTTGGAATTTTTGAGCCTAAAAACCCGTCAACACGAATCCTCCAATTAATAATAAGCACTCGTTTAGTATATCGTGTAAATGTCAACTCGAGGTCTTTCTCTCGTAGAACTTTAGCGAGCTTTATGCAATAATTGAATATTGGGAAATTAGCGGGGAGAAATGTCGATTGTATGTTTTGCCGTGCACGGAGAAAAAGATTTTTTTGTATTAAATAAAATTAATTGAAACAAATTTGTTCTTTTGGAATAGAGCAAAACGGAATAGAGCAAACGAACGAACATTTGATTCAACAAATAAGATTGTTTGGTTCCTCAAACAATAAATTATTTGAAAAAAGTAACACTATATTAGAAGAATATCAAGGAACTTCCTTATTTCAGGGGAATAATATTTAATATATAATGAAATAAATTTTGACATATTGTATAAACGAAATATTATTTTCTCGAAATATAATACTGTTTTATCTATTAACATGATTTACTCCGGTGAAATAATATTTCCATTCAAATAAAATGATATTTGATATTAAATTATAATATTAAATTATTGATATTAAATTATTATATTAAACGAGACCAAGTTAAACAAACACGTGTACCAAATATAAAGAAACCGCTTTTTTTCTGCGCAGCTGGAATATTTGTCCGAAATTCTCCAATTAATTCGTTCGTTTAATCGTTCAGTAATCATTCTTTAATTCGTCGTTGACTCTCGGGGCTTCTCGCTGCTTCCTCTTCGGAGTCCAGCGAGCTCGAAGCTTGATAGTTTAATACTGAGAAACCGGCGGCGAGGGTCGCGGAGCACGTTGCGGAGTTTCATCGCGGGAGCCAGCGAGCTATTAAGCGACGACGCTTTCACGAGGACTCGCGACGGCTCTCGCCGTCGGGCAAGAGCGCGTAAAACATACTTACACATAACCTCGAGATTGACTACGTTGGACTTGGCGCGGCCTTCGGCATTCGCGGCCATGCAGGTGTACCCTCCGGCGGACTCTCGAGTTATGCTCTGCAGCACTAGCGAGTGGTCCGACAGCACCACGCCGGTGCTGACGTTGTGATGCAGCTGCTCCTCCTGAATAAGTAAACGACACCGGGTGTCTGAACGTTAAAGAACTGGAGGCCGTCGCGCGGAAACCACTCGAAAACGAATCTCGCGTCGCGGAATCGTGCGCAACGCTCAACTCGGACCCATTGTCCGAGTAATATTAATTAGTTGCGTGATAATGTATCTCTCGAGTAAGGCTGCACTAGATTCACAACACGACAGCTTATCGGCTTCAGCGGACGCTACACCGAGAGAAAAACAGTTGGATGGACAAAATCGACAACAGTCATTTTCATTCGAGAAAATAATACCCACTGAACAAATTATGCGTTGGCGCAACAATACATCGCGTTGACATAGTCGCTGACCAAATCGTAATCGCTGAATCAATTGATGCAACTCATTACAGCAAATGTATAATTTATTCAGTGTACTAAACGTTGGGGTTTGAATATATTCTTTTTCCCGTTTAAGCCAAACTCCGTTGATTCGATCGCCTATTTTCCTCAGTATATGCCCGATATCTTTCAACTTGTTGAACTCCACGGAATTTTTCACGTTGATAGCGTTCATTCAGAAATTAACCGACTTCGGGAAACCATAGCGTGACATGATCCGTTTCCTTCGATTATTATGCGCTCGGTCCGACTAATTTATAGGGAAAGAGTTGAACGATCTCGCAAACATCGGAACACGCTGACGTTCACGCCTGTCGTGCAACCGACGATGTAACCAACGATCGCCCCGCCAGGTCCTTACGCTGGGCGCTGCGCGTTTCCCCGTTCGCGTCAAATTCCCGCAGGAGCTGCCGGCTCTCATTGTTGCCAGTCGCAAATAAACAAATTTGTCTTAGTCTTGGCATTCAGCTCCACTTCCGCCTCGGCGAAGATCGCGCTCGAGGAAACAACCCGCTGCGGGTTGTCGTCCGCTCGAGGAGGTCGGACAAAGGGAATTTACGATGTACACTTGTCCCCCCTCTATCTCCTCCCATTCCTATTTCCCGTCTTCCACTGTCTAACCCTTCCTCTCTCTTCCTCTTCCTCTCTTCCGCGTTTCCCTCCACTAGAATAATCCTATCGTCTTTTCTACGTTTTATCGCTCCTTCATCCTGATCTCACCTCATCCTTCTTCCACATCCACTCCTCCATCGGCGATTCTTCCAGCGCGATTCTTCCTTTTGTTTAATTACAGACATCGCGAATTTCTCTCCCTCTCTCTCTCTCTCTCTCTCTCCATCTCTCCCCCAGTTTCTCTTTTTATGAGTAGTGCTCGAAGTAACGGAAATCGATCGTCACGTCGCGCAACATCGAGGACGTTAACGCAGCGTGGCGGAACATGGAATGTCGGTCCATTTGTCGAAATTAGTTCGGACCGGAAGGATGAAGGACCCTCGGACGATGTTCGCGGGAGAGAGACGCGCGCGAGAACGCGCGCGTGTCTGCGGGCTGCGAGATCGGTTCTCGTACACGGCGAGAGCGGGTCAGATCGAACGAAACCGAGTCGCGAACAATGCTGGGAGTGAAGGCGGATGTAGCGGGTGGCCTCGGGGGAAGAGGAACGCGTTCCTCGTTTCGCCGCTTGTTTTAGATGAGTAATACGAGCCCCGTGTCTGCTTCCGCCCAGCGTTCGCGGAGCGGTTCTCCACGGAGAGTAGTACGTGTCGGGAGCGCGGGAGCGTTTTCGCGCGAGAGACAGCGGGGAATCCGCCGTTTATGTACGGCTTCTTGCGCTTCTTGCACCAGCACGATCGTCAGAGCGCCTCTCGACGAAGCTCGCGAAGAACGAGCGCGCAGCCGCTGTCTTTTTTCGTCCCGATGATCGAGAACGCGTATCGCCATCACAGCGCATCTCACAATCGGACTGTAAATTTGTTTAACGGATAATCTGTGATGAATAAACGTGTTTGTCGACGAGCACGAACTATTCCCACCTCCGAAAATTCTCGCGCAAATGGAATTTCCTATTTCGACGGCCGCCGCCAAAATAAACAGTCCCGTCCCGTGGGATTCATCTATGGAGAGGATTCTCTTCCTTTCTCTCTCGCTCCCCCCCCCCCCCCTACCTTCTCTCTCTCTCCCTCTCTCTAGTCTCGCAGCCGTTTCCGCGTGAATTCTCGCGTGTTCGCCGTCGTATTAGATGTTAAATATACGTGAGAGGGTGATACGAGCGCGTGCCTCGTTTCGGGAACGTGAAATATATCTGCGTCACCGGTTATAATATACGAAGCCCCTTGGACGGGCACTAGACAAGAACGATAAGTTCCATCCCCCTCCGCCACGTGTACGTGCGTCTTACCATATACATCCCGTCGCGAAGTTCCGTTCGGGTTATGCATAAGTGAGGGGGCCAAATCCTTTTTTAACTTTCGACTCGCGCCTCGGCTGTTATTCGCGGCGTTCGCCCACGAGCGGAAGAGAACTCCCCGAGTGTAGGAATATCCCCCACGTCGATGCGATCATACATTCTCGACGGGAAGAATTACAAAAGCGGAAGTCGACGTAGTCCCGTGGAATATAACGCGAGCGTTAAATTCGAACAGCAGCGAAGTATAAATCGTGCGATACTTGCAAAGTTTCTTTCTAAATAAATACACACACACACATATATATATATATATATATATATATATACCGCGCCAGCGGCAATTTTTCATCGTGTTTCTGCGGCGAGGCGAAATACGTCGACATCGAATTATTTACAGCGTTTAACAGAGCCTCGCATTCCCAAAATACGCGCGCGACGTCACTAATTGACGGCGATTCGATTTTCATTCGATCGTCGCAAAATGCTCGACGCCGCCTATAATACAGACGGTAATGATGTTATATCATGGGCACGATGTAACGCTCGACGCAACGTTAACGTAATAATCATGTCCGCCGATTTCGGATTTATATTCCGGTTGACCAGGCCCTTTAAACGGGACGTTCGTGACGGCACGACGCGAGCGTGTCGCGACGACACGCGCTCATAATGAAAAATATCGAAATATCAAATATAGAGAGGAATGAAATATCAAATAAAATGACAGACGATTGTAACTGTACCGGCGTATTAAGCTGCTACGTTTAAGTCCAAAATGCATACGCAGATTTATAAAACGTTAACGTCGCGCGCGCACGGATCGGAGTGATTTTAAATCGAGCGATTCGCCGCACTCCACCGAGTAATCTGCCGTCACGAGCCTGTCCTCGATCAATCTTTCTTTCTTTTTTTTTTCCACTACACCTGAGCGCAAAACTCTGCGCCGCTGTTGGCGGAACAATTAACGTCAGTAACATCGAACTTGCAAGAGAGCACGGCGCGGCCGCATGCACGAGATCGACCCGCAATCAACAATGCTAAATTATACAAGGGACATTAAACAATCGACATAAACAAGCCGGAATTACAGCGATGTAATCGCGTGTGCGTTATCGGGCGCGCGCGGGCGGATAGAGCGAAGCGAAAACGCGGCGGTCCTGGCGAAAGGTTCGTTCAAATATTTGTTCGTCGCGACACCGTGCGTTCTCCTCTTTCAGTTTCCAGGCGAGCTGGTAGTTGCGAACCGATCCGTGGAATGAATCGCCGTCGTTCGCCTGAATGCCCGTCTATCCGCGTGCACGATCTGTATCCACCCGCATGTACGCACGTACGCGGAAAAAGTATTCTCGCCTGGGGCGTCCGACGAAATTCGCGCGATTGCTACGAGATTATTTTTTTACGAGTCGAAGACGCGCTTCACCGGCCGTTGCTTTGCTATATTCCCGTGCGCATCGCCGGCCGGATTAAAGCGGAATCGCAGGAGGGAAAACGCGCAGTTTCACGATGAAAAAGAGATAACGACCTGATACGCGCCTTTTTTTGTCCGTTTCATTTATAATGGATGATTGTAAGATAATAACAATGGTAATGCCAGCAATAATAATAGTGACGACGATAATGATATAAAATCATGTAAATAATTGTAAGAAAATAATAGTCGAGCGCGTCCGATTCGTGATTTCGAGTTGGTTGATCAGGCTTGCATTAACGTTGAATTTTTGATAAAGACGCGGTCGAAATGCGGACGACCACTGGCGAGGGAGGCGACTCGCCGCAATTTTCGCGATACGCGCGTTCTGACGACCGCGCGTGTACCATCCGGCGAGCCCAATGAAATTTTTGTCGCGCGAACGTTTTTACGGATTGGTAAACCAACAGCGACCGGTGAATCGTGGGCAATTTATCGGTTCGGTTCGACGAGCAGCACGGGGACGCGCGGCGAGGGACGCGGGCGGGAGGTGACAACGGGTGCTCGTAAATTTACAATAATTTCGACGAGAGTGCACACCGACGCTCGCGGCTGCACGAATGGCTGCAGACATTCCAAATTGCCCTTGCTGCACGGGGAAAATTCCATTCGGTCGGACGACGAACTTAGGGACCACCAGTCGCCGAGTGCGCGATCGCGCCCCCGAAAATTCATCGGGTCGAGCCCTTAAATCGTCGCGAGGACGCAGAAACCTCGGCGGACATCCGTGTCAAGCGCGTCGAAATATAACGGTAGTAACTGAATCCCGACTTTCGCGCGTGAAGCGCAAACGAGCGAGAAAAGGGAAAACGGCCAAAACGCGCGATTCATTTTTTATACAATTATTTCCTCCGTTACGGGCAGTTCCCCCGTATTTCCAGACGCAAAGATCTCCGATTCAAAATAATTACACTCGCCTGCTTGTTTCCTCTATATAAAAGTTGTCCAATTAAAAGTTCCCCTCTAGGATTCACACCGGCGGAAGGAGATTCGCGACGGCGTGGCACACGAACGATACTGAAACCGGCGCTCCTCGATTTCTTCGCGCGATTCGCCGGCTCGTTTATCCGACACGAGCCTCCTCCTCCTCTTCACCGCCCTCCCTCCCCAGCTGCCATCCGTCGCGCTGCTCTCGTGGCGGCGTGGGATCCGGCCGATAAATAATTCGCGAAATTCTGCCTGAAATTCCCCGGAGTCGCGTTACGGTATCCAGCCCCTTCAAAAAATTCCCGTTCCCTCCGGCGCACGCGGCTCATTCGTTCCCTCGCTGGCGACTATCCGAGGGAGAAAATCGCTCCGTAAGGGCGCGCGAGAGGACAGCCCTCCTTTGTGCCGGGTCCTTCGTCCTGCCTCTTAAAAGTTTAAAGAGGACAGTCAACGTTCTTCCTCTCGTACGACGGACGCTCGTCTTTTCGTTTAAATATGCAACAGCATCGTGCTGCTGGAACGGAAACAAACGATCCGCGAAATTGTCCGAAGTTAAGAGTACGCGTAAAAGAGACAGACGGACAGAGAGAGAGAGAGAGAGAGAGAGGAAGGGAGCAAGTAGCCGTCAAGAAGTACTTCCTATCCGAAAGAGAGCTCGTTGTCCTCTTCCGTATGTGTTTCTCTTTACGTCGAGGTGAGTTACGTTAACCCTTAAGCGGCTTACTGAGGTTCCGCGAGTATCCCGTAGGGTCTTGAACGTATTGAACGAGCTCGTCGTTCGCGTGAGAACTTCTTTCTCGAGTTGTTGCGTGTGTCAATTTTGGCGAGTGCTCTTGCCGGTGTAATCCTCTTTCCATTTATCTCATAAAAACAACAGCGGACAACGAATTACGTCTCACGGGTAGCAAATAAATTTCCCGGTTCCCTGGTAGGGTCGAGTGCGCAAACGGTGAGCGATCGGCTGCGTGTTGATACGAAGGTATCGTAGCGATCTCATAAATCTGTTTGGCGGATTGGCCCCGTCGAGGGTGGTCACGTCGTAAGCTCCGCAGTATTTGGGCTTGTTGGGGATTAACCGGTGACTATTGCTTCAAAAGCGACGCAGTTTTCTCGAAGCGACGCGCAGTTTGTAGCTTGTAATAGGACGCATCGCTCGACGTTGTAAGGACGCGATGACGTCATCGCGAGCGCACCGGGAAATGCTCGTAGGATTTAGCCACCTCGAGGAAGAGACAGTGAAGACGAAAGAGAACAAGAGAAAATGAAAGAGAAAGAGAGAGAGAGAGAAAGAGAGGGTTGCAAAGAGAGCGAGGAAAATGATGGAAGACGTAATCCCGCTTAAGAGGCTTAGCTCAACGATCCTCGAGTGACCAAAGATAAAGGCGAATCTGCGCGACGATACTTTAGATGATCGGTTCCGCGCGAAAAGAAAAAAAAAGGAGTATATCGCGTAAACAATGCTCTTCCGCAAGAATGATCGTTCGCCTTGAGCGACAAAAGGAGTTTTTCTTCGTCGTTGTTCGCTTTTGTTCTTTCATCGCGAACAGAATGGAGGTGGTTCAGAGTAGAAGGAAATTAATTGTATTTATATTTCGATGTGAATGCGATCGTATTCGCGTTAAGTAGCGACGGTTCGGTGAAGAACCGGAATAAACTAAAATTAACCCCGCTGCACATGGTGCATTCTAATTAATGCATTTCTAGTAAGTTATCAGAACTCACTATATTCAGTAGGAAACAAACATAGTGGTGTTGTGGGCTTTAATGTGTAGGCTTTAATAATGTATATGCTATGTGTGCACTTTACACGATGTTTGTGTACGCGTATGCGCAAATTTAAGAAATTAAATATAAAATTAACATAAAATAAACACATAATCAGAGTTTTATTTTTAAATATTTATATTATAAATAATGTATGTATAATTAAATGATATATAACGGATAATATTAAATTAAATATCACATAATTAAAACATTATACACATATTATTAAGTAAAATGTTGCACAATTTTTGCATGTTTCTTGTTACGTGACCAGCTGCTTTATGATTGGTTGGCAAGATTTCTGCTTTTATGGATATATAGTAATGTGCTTGAATTAGGGAGTCAGTAGCTATTATGTAATTGGTTGGCGTAACAGAATACAAAGTTCACGTGACTTGTTGGCACCTCTCCTATTAGAGATTCTGTTTTCTTACAATATGTCTTGCGTTATGTTTACGGAAATTCGTATATGTGGGCCTTAATTATAATCAAGCTTCATCAATAATGACTAATCACTTAGGGAAGACTGGGGCTTGGCTGAAGGGGTAAGCTGATTAACCGATTATTTCTGCTATTTTCTAACAGATTACAGAATCAAGCAAGCAGAGATTTTTAACTTACTCCTTTAGCCAACTAGTTTCAGTTTCCCTTATAAAGAAAATTAATAAAATAAAAAAAAAAATAGTTTGTTTTAGAGAAAAAAACCCGCGGTTTCAATTTCCAAATAATGTAGAAAATATGCCACCAGCTAAAACAGAATTTTTGTACTCTAGATGACAGTCGAATAAGCTAGAAACGGCGGAAAATAGGCTTAGTTAGCAATCATGCGGCGAACTCGCCGATGACGCGAGGAAATTCCGCTCGGCTCGATCTTTCTTTACCGTTCCGAATTTCACGACGAGAGGCGTGTATATCCTTGATTAATGCACTGAAGACCGAACGTATATATACGAGAGGCAGCGCTGAATCTCGCAAAATTCGCGGATCATCGTTTCCGGAAGTTCGGAATGTGCGCACGAATTTGCCGTTCACCTCGAAAATTTTATATTTCCGCGATATCAATATTTCCGGATAACCAAGTTCATTTTTCCTCCATATATATATACATGTACCAGGGCCAAATGATACTTTTATTTTATTTTAATATTTCGAGTGGACTGAGGACGGCCGCCGGTCCGCATCCGCGATGATTCACGTAATCTATTTCGGCTAATGCCGCATGCGTCGAATAGCGCCGTAGGCAGATGAGCCCGATGCGCAATGTTAATGCCGGACGGAATAGGCGTACTAATTAGGGGATATTTCATTAGGACGCGCGTAAATAGCCGGTAAAATCGCCCCTGAAATTCCGTCCGCTGGACGTTTACAATCGTGCGTGAGTGCGTGCATGCGCTCGTTCGCACTAAATACACACGCTCGAATGAGCGAGCGCGAGTTTACCTCGTCACTTTTGTCCCTTCGAAACTAATGCCACAGCGGAAACTGGATTGTTAATAAGCGGCATTTGCAAAAGCCAACGACAAGATTGGCGAGTATTGAATTGCGCGTCACTCGGTAAATAATATTATTCAACACTATATGTTGGTGTGCGCATGTATCTCATCGTCGACAACTATGACATGTTTATTGCGTGATATAGGACAGGTTGAAAGGTCACGCTGAAAGCACCTCCGTGCCAGGTTGGCCGTGGCAGGTTAATCGTAACTAAGGTAGATTTCATCGTCGATAACGACATGACTGATACCTCGCCCGGTGAGCCGTGAATCTAATCGAAAAAGAATCAATCACGTCTGTGGACAGACAAGTGAGCAAATACACAGTAAAAACATTTTAAATTCGTGTTAAAATTGGTCCTTGTTAAAAAATCTTGGTATTAAGTTTCCAATATACCCGTGTATTAATTTAACATATTGTGTTTATGTTATTTCAATATTTTCGGTTAAATTGATATTCAATACATATATAAGTGTTAAAATAATACATTTACATACAAATTCCAGTGTCGATTAACATATCATGGACATTAATTTAATGTTAATTTCTGACATAATATTTGCGTTACTTTTCAACATATTCACCTTGTTAAACTATCACAAATTAATTTTGTGTTAAATTAACACAAAAATTTGTGTGGATAGTTTGCGACATGTGAAATGTGTTGAATTTAGCACAAAATTTTATACTGTGCATTCATCATCAACTTCGATGAGCTATTTCAACGTTTAAATGTTCGAGAAAGCGTTTGTGAAAAGTACGTATATTCTTTTTTCTTTGGCTCTTGTACGATGTATCCGAAGCTCATAGAAATGAGTGAAGAATACTTCTTCCCAAATCTTCACTCATTATTAGAAGAAACGTCTTCGGTGAATTTTGCGAAACGTAGGTTCGATGTTTCCTCGTCGCGTTCTCGCAAAAACACGCACGCGGGAGATGTCGCATGCATTTAACGTGCAATTGCAGGGCACGATATATCTTTATGCACGAGCGCGTTGTCTCGCGTCGACCGTGGATTACTCGTGCATAGTTCTGCGAATCGTTCGCGATTTACGACCGTATGCGACCGTACGCGACCGCGGGTCCCTCGATTTGAGGAAAAAAGAAGTGATCGATGTAGCGCCTACCTCGTGGAACCAGGTCAGCTTGTACGACCTGGGATTCGCCCTGACGTTGCACTCGAAGTAAACGTCGGAGCCCTCCTTGATGTCCTTCGGATTCAAGGTGGAGCCCATCTTCAAACTGGCGATAGGCGCGACTGCAATCAGAATGGCAGATCGAATGGTTGAACAAGATGCTCGTCTTTTCTTCTCTTCTTCTTTCATGCCGCGTACTCTTACGGGGAGAATCATCGGTTGGTAAAAAGCGCCGTTCGAATCTCCAAATTCTATTCTTTGAGAGTTCGGCTGGAAACTACAACGGTGACCGAGATAAATGAATAATGATAAATTATTTTGCGAACGAAATATTTACAGGGCGTGTGTGTGTGTACGATAGCTACGTCGGGTCTTTTAATACGTCCCGCGAACGCAGTCGCGGAAAAAGGGCGAACGCCGCGAGCGTATCGAACGTGACATCGTCGGTAATTTATAAACGTCGCTTTGACACAGCATTATTTATGAACCGGCAGATACCGGCGTGCACACGGTGCAATAATGTGCGGATATAAACGGACCGGTGTTTAATGAAATCTGCATTTTCGGCGGGGTCGAGTTAAAGCGCGGAAACACGACGAGCGGCCGTAGTAACGCGCGTTAGCCCGGGATTTTTATCGCGCGCGTATTTCCCTTTCGTGAAACTAAAACCGATCGATCACCGGCCGCGGACGGTGCGCGTGTCTCTGTAAACAGAGAATTAGTTAATTCGAGAATGATAATGACGATAATAAAGGACGATCATTAGGATTTGATGTCGTTAATCGATATACGCGCGTCTCTGTCTCGCGGATGCCCATATTGTTCGTGTAACGGAACGACTGTCTTTCATAGATCGTCCAACGAATGCGAGAAAAAGGCGAAATAAAATTAATTAACATGAATAAACATTAAAAGGAACAAGCATTAATAACGTAAAATACGTCTCATTAAAATTTTGTCCCGTAATTCTATTCATGGAGTCATTTGGCCAGGAAGAATGCAAAATTTGCGCGACAACTCTTCAATTTATTTTAATTAATTATAATTACACAAATTCCGTCATGAAATTAGCAGACGCACACGCGCGAATTATTTAGGCCGGCCTCGTTTAATATTAATGTGGAATTTCTCCGATGACTTTTAAATATTTATTGTATATTCGCGGCTAAAAATGCACGCGCGTGGCAAATTTCGGGACTAATTTAATAACGCGACTGCGTAAATTGCCTGATGCTTTCATTTACAGTGCGGACGTGAAATTTCGTTAGTAGCTTTCCAATTCAATTAATTAGCTTTACTAGAATGGGAATTAAGCCATATTTGAGCCGCCGCGAGTGCAACAATCGATAACTGTGCTCTCGCGTAATGGGATAACGTTATTATATATACCATAGTATCTCGTAAATAGGATTTCGATGTTTGATAGCGAAGAAACGAGCTTAAAAGCGACTCTTGAAACGAAACTCCGTGCGCATAAGCCCGTCCCGTTTTAAGTGATAAAGCAAAATGGAGCTAATTTGATTCACGCTTCTAACGGCGAGATTGCAAAAGAAACGCGGAGCCACAGTTATTATCGATAAATATTCCGATCGAAGCTCGGAGATTTTCGCGAATGCCCATGTAAAACGGCTTACAATTAGGCACAATAATTATACTGTACAAGCCCGTGTCGAAATTTTGACCCCACATTAATCCTGCAAATTCCGTCGAACTTGAAGGAGGAGATCTCGAGGTATAACTTACTGCCGTGTTGCATATTGAAACGCAAAAAACGACTTATTTCGGAATTACTTAACATTCGATAATGACGCGTGACATATGAGCGAATATCGTTTCATCTCGTTCGGCCTCATCCTGCTTGTCCGTCGAGAGAAATATTATTCGTTGCCGTTGTCGCGCATGGACATCTCGTTTGCAAACGGAATATTTGTAACAGTACAGTCATATATAATTTCAATTACAAGCGTTGCATACACAGTGTATCAGCATCGCGTAACACTGCGAAATGGTAATTGCGTGTTAATTCAATCTAGTTTCGTAACACGAGAAACAACCAATGAGAATCGCGGGTGTACACGTCGACAAACAAAGAGGCATTGATTCCCGCGATCGTTTTGCCATGCGCGCTCTTCTCTCTCTCTCTCTCTCTTTCAATATTTTTCTTCGATTTCCCGTAGTATCGATTCGCCGAAATGAGGAAAAAATTATTATTCTTCGCGCGGAGCGAAAGAGAGAAAGAAAGAAAGAAAGGAAGAGAGAGGGGGAGAGTGGTGGGTGGAGAGAGAGAAACTGATTTTTAATTAACGTGACTTTAATAAAAAACGCTGGCTACGTAGACGGTGAAGTCTACGATGTAGCACGGTGTATCGCAAAAACACAAGGTCTTGGCTGTTCCGCGAGAAATCAGCGAGGGAGTATCTCTTTCCTTTTCTTCTCGGCTGTTCGAGAGAGATAATCGAAGAAAAACATACCCGATGATCGCAACAACCGTTTACGCCGGCCTCTTAATTGAACGGCAACAAGAAAGTCGGAGGCTGAATTAAATTGTAACCCGGCGAATCCGATGCGCGAGAAGATGCGACAAACGTTCCGGCGCGAAGACGAGACTCAAGTAAGCACCCAAGTAAGTATGTCGTTAATTGTATTATCGGAATACCCGAGTATATCGGAGCCGCGTTGTCGTCGGAACGAGAATAATTTACGGGAGAAAAGGAAGGTAAAAAGACCGGGGAGAGGGTAGGGGGGGGGGAGCGTTACAAATTCCCGCGGTGATTCGCCGTTTCGTTTCGTCGTGAATCCGCGGAATCGCGTCGTGCGATTGCGAGGGCGGAATCCACGATCGCGCCACGGGATTACAATGCGGTCGCGATTCTGATATTCATATCGGTGGCGGAGCCGCTGATTACGTCGGCGAATACGTTGCAGCTCGCGAGTGCACGCGGGAACTCGCGACACACTCCGGGACGCGTAGCATAATCTCGAAATAAATCTTACATCGGCATACACCACGCGCCCGCCGGATTGCGCGCACGTGTTGCGAGCACGCTCGATATAAACGCGCGTGCATGCGGCGACACGCAATATGCAGCCCGATGATGCAACCCGGCGATGCAGCCGCGCTTCGAAATTCGCGGAATACGTGCGTCCTCGTGCAGTATAACCGCATCCAACCCCCTCCTCGCGGGGGATGACGCTCCTTCGCACGTGCATCCGCGCGATCGTATCAGCCGCGTTCGAGTCCTTCCGTCAGTGAGCTTTTCGGCCGGCGAGAGAAGAAACTCTTTCGAGCTCGGAGGGTTGTGTCTCATTAAATGTTAACGTCACGACAAAGATACATCCTTCCGAAGCCAAGCGCTATTAGGCGGAACGCGACGGTTACAATTGTGGATCCGACTTGACTCTTATTCTCTGCAGACGAATTAATTTGTCAACCTACGACACGATATTCACAGTCGGATTTTGTATTTAAGACCGTATTAAATTCACCTTCAGATGTTTCGTAGCTAATGAAACGAGCCGTGCAACATGTGAAGATGAACTTAAGACGGTCTTAAATATAAGATCCGGCTGTGAATACCGGTCATAGTCTCAGTCTTTCTTTTGATGAGCATCGGCACTGCGTTTCCCCAGATATCAGGTCGTCAAGGATGAAATTTGTAGAAAAAAGGCAAAGTTAGTTGATAACTTACAAATATAAGGAATTATTTTATTTTCATCAAAGTATGCACCCATTGTCTATACACTTTTGCCATTTAAGCGGCAGATTGTTTAGGCCGGTGGTGTAAAACCCTGGCGGACGAGAGTCAATGAATTCCTGGAAGGCCAGTTTTACAGCATTGTCGGAATTAAATTGTTTTCCTATTAAAAAGTTGTCCAAATTGCGGAAGAAGTGGTAGTCAGTGGGGGCTAGGTCTGATGAGTATGGAGGATGATGAAGAAGTTCCAACTCCAATTCCTGTAGTTTTGCCACAGTCATTTGTGCAGTGTGTGGTCTAGCGTTATTTATTGCAGCACTATTTTAATCATGCTTGACTCTTTTCATGGCCCTATAATTCGATTCAATAGTTTAAGAGAGCCGGAGATATTGGTTTTATTTTCAATTTCATCCTTGACTGCAGTTCGCGCGACAAAATTCGCGTAACCGTGACATTGCGCTGTCTTCACCAGATTTGTTTTTTTCCAGTGTAATCACGCGAATGTAAACCCGCGCAAAGAGAGAGAGAACCGACCCCGCATAACGTCACGAATGCACGCTAACGTGTGCGTGAATTGCTCAATTCTTTTTTTCCCCCTTATGAATTTTCATATTTTTTCGCCGCAACGCTGACCTACATATGTCGTATTTCCGTGCGCAGCCGACGGCTTGATCCAACGACGTAACGTCGCGAATATTCGTGTCCGCTTGCTTCGTTCTTAAATGCCGGTGTTCCTCTCTCCCCGCCTCTCTTCCCTGCGACAGTAGGCCTGTCGATATTATTTTACGAGATTGATTTTTAAACGCAACACTTACGCGTACGTGCGCGTCGCGTTGTATTTTTCGCGCACCGTCCGACCGAGCGAAATTGCCTGGATGATTGGTTAGCGGTTTCCGATCGCGATAGAGCAATCGCGCGCGCGCCCCTGCGCAAAAGCGACACGGCGAGCAATTATCGAGCCGCGTCGGGCATTTTCATTTCTGCGGGAACACTCGCATCGCGCGCGACACTTTTTTTCTGCCAAACACGAGCGGCGTTGCGCGCGCGCGCGCCAGCGTGTATCCGGTTTCGAGCAAACCGCGAACGGACCTCTGTATTGAATTGTCCCGCGCCGTATTTATTCTACGCCTCTGGGGTGCCCTCCCGATAACAACATGCCGTTGGAAATATGAAAAACGGCATTGCACCGCGCATAGAAAATTCCGCACCGACTGCTCCTCTTCTCATGTAACGCATGGATAATATGCAGAATCCTTCTGAACCGCGTTGACAAAAATAGAATTCTGTTCGCAGAGTTGGCAGATGTGACGTCTCGCTTCTGTTTCCGAAAAAAGCCCGAATTTATTAGCTTCTGATTGTTTCTCCCAACAATTGAAAGTGGGAAGAGGTATGCAGAGAGGGATGGGAAAATTTATCCAACGGAATAG